TGGGAGGGGTCCCTGGTGTTTGGAAATACTGGAGTACCCTTAGGCAGGGCAGAGTAGGAGTCACTTGGGTAACAGCGCAGCAGAGCACTTCATGAGCACAAAGCCATGCACGTATTCCCTGTTTGCTCTTTTCCAGTTTTTCATTTCTGCTCCATACCCCTTTTTCCTTAGGCCCGGACAAACAGGGGATGTTCAGGCTCAGGGCTCTGCATGGTGTGACAGAGCAGGCCAAGGCCAAGGAGAATTAATTCTGAGCTGGGGATGGCTTGTGTGTGTATGTCCTTAGAATGGGTTTTACTTTTAGATGCTGGACAAATTCCCAAAGCAGGAGGTAGCATGGATGTCTCTGCCTTGGCCCTCACATGTGTTTTCCAGGCTACTAATGCTGGGCTGCAGGAGCTTGCTGAGTGTCCTGCCGCTGTTCTCTGCAACGCACACACTATTTTCCATGTCTGTGGGGTGGTTTGCTGCCCGTGGCAGCTCCCTTGCTCAGGCAGGCATCCCACTGCTGACTGCAGTAGTGGGTAGGTGGGTGAGGCAGTCCCTGAAGTGGTTACAGCTGTAGGTTGTGAATGCGGCTGATACTTTTCTTGGCTTAAGTTGCACCCAGCGCGTGTGGGTACAGAGCTCCTGCTGCATAACCTCTTGTCAGGAGATAAAAATCCTCGGTTCTAATCAAAGCCTGTGTTTACCGACTCATGAAGATGTCTGTCTTTTCTCCTGAAGCTCAAGGTCATTTGAGCTCCTTTCTGCTGTGCTTCTGCTAGTGACCCAGCCCAGGGGCTGCTTCTGCTGGTACCTACAACTGGCACTCCTGCCTCCTGCTCCTGTCCTCAGATCTGTTCGACCTCTACTGAATGTAGCCTCTAAAGTTCAGTAATTTGTTTAAATGCTTGTGTGATGCTTGGCTCTGATAGCGTCAGCAGCAGCCACTTTCCTGGGGATGGTGAAGGACACACTCAGTGATCGGAGATGCCTCTCCCTCCTTTCTCCTCCTGCCCGCCCTTCACTCTTGCGCTTCACTGGGCCCACTTCAGCACCTCATCACCAGGGGAGGGGGTTTAAACCAGCCGTAGTTTGCAAAGCTAGTGGCTCAAAATGTCTGCAGGTAAGAGAGGTCTGTGCCACCCAGGGTTGCCTCTGCCAGCAGCACAACACGGGCTCCGGCCATCTTCTCCCCACCTCTTCCAATGCAGCCCTAGACCCTCTGTTGCTCCTCTGCAATGTCGTTTAGTGAGTCGTGATAACCGTGGTAGTGCCCTGGCGGAATCCTGATCAGCTCAAGAGGCGGAGTGCTCTTGAAAGTGCACTCGTGAATAATATAAGTGCATAAGAAAGTAATGGCCGTAAGTATGATTTGCCATCTCAAGAGATGGAAAAGGCAGTCAGTAAATATGAGAACTGAACTCAGATAAAAATAATCATATTTAAACTACTGTAATAAAACTGTCAGTCTTCTTGGGTAGCAAGAAGAAAATTCCTGTTAAACAAGCCAGCAACAGGCAGAGTCAGTTCACTGAAGGGGCAGACTGGTCCATCCTTTGGACTGCGGTATGTGCCCACAGCAAAGGCCTGCCGATATCCATAGGGTGCGGTAGAAGTGCTGGGACAGGTCTTGCTGGGCTGGCGTCCAAGCCTAAACAAGCCTGAGCAGAAGGGGACAGAAATATTAATTCAGTCTTGGAGGGAACAGGCACACCATACCAGGATTTGTAATGAACAAGCTAGTTCTGAAAACACCAGAAAAGATTTGTCTATAAACCTTTAAGAAAAGGTGTTATATCTTTTAAAAGAAAGAGAAAACTGAAAAAGTGGCTCTCTTGCTCTTCCCTTACCATCCTCGATTTTAATTATTTGAAGGAAGTGCTGCAATATCAATAATCTTCCACTAATTCAACAGCAATTTTATGATTTTATAGGAAGTGTACTTGCTGTGACTGGGGAAACTCAACAGTTTGAGTAAACTTGCCCCACTAACATCTCCCTGTTATTATTTTTTTGAGCTCTTAAAGCAATATTTTGCTTTGTTTTGGTTTCCTGGTTTTTTGAGCAACTCTAGAATTGTTCGCATCCTCCCACAATTTCTCGTTGAATATAGGTTTCACGATAAAATTGTTCTAGACTTTTTTTTTCTTTCTTGAATGAGCTTTGATGTATCTGTTTGAGTTTCTCCTGCAATCTGGTATTCTGCATTGAGATCCACGATCCATGCTGTTCACTCCTCACTGGTATTTTCTCTTTTAGGTGTATTTGGTGGGACTCCTAAGCTGCATCAGAAATCTACAGAAAACCTATTTGTGGTGGCTCTGAATTCCCTCATCTTGGGCTTTATGTCATTTTGTGCTGGCTTGAGGATGCTCCTGTTGAAAAGCAAACAACTAAGAATGCCCTTTCCTCTAGCTGGCCCCTTGCACTACATTCCCACCCTCCTCCTGTTCTGCCATGCAGAAGAACCTGATTTAGGACACAAAACCCACTACACGCGTGAAACTGTATGGAGAGGTTTAGTGTTTGCCTTCACAAAACAATCGGTGATTATTCTCAGAAACTTCTCATTTGCTGAAGCAGAGATTTTACTATAGAGCTAGAAGATTGGCTCAACTTCAATAATTAATGTGGAATAGTAAAATGTTTCTTTTTCTCCTGAATTCACATTCACTGTGATGCAAGAGAGAATAGTGCATGTATTAAGTGTGCATTGGATGTGAATGTTCTGCATATGTTTGATTATTTTCCCATTTGAGAAAGGGCTAAGACTTCACTTCTGAGTACTGCAGTAATTGTATTTCAGGGCAGAAGCTCGTTTATCTATTTTCTCTAGATATGAACCCTTCAACTATTAGGATGTGTACTTTGACTTTTTATTACAATGTGGTGGTGTAATAGGATTCCTCCTTCTCCAGGGAGGCTTTTATATATACCTCTGTTTATATATATACATAGACACACATACACATTAAAAATGGTTTTGCTGTGGGGGAAGAGGGCGCTGAGTCCAAAAAGCTAGGTTTTATATATTTTATTCATAAAAACAGATTTGCAACAATTTATTAAAAATTGATCTCATGCAGTATAAGGTTATACAAGAAATTCTTCATTTACATTTTATTCTGGCAGTTCCAGTCTAGTTTAAAGCATTTGTGCACTAACATCATTGGAAAATGCCATTGGGGCACAGCCTCTTCATAAATTTACAGTACATTTTTGCTGCAGTATAAAAGAACAGAAACATTAAATAGCTATATTCACTTGGTTGGTCTTGTTATCTGCAGTAAAGTAAAAAAAAAAATGTTATGGGAGAAACTACAGGATCATTGAGACAAAGAATGTACTGCATGGTTTAAACCTAATAAACGTCACACAGTCAGTATTCACGAAGTTACAGACACACACACACACTCACCTCCAATGGTTCGATACTTCTGAATTTTGTTTTTCCTGCTAAGCTGGAATAATATTTCTACAGAGATCTTTGTGTATACATTATATACAATATTGTAATTTTCTCTTTTTAAAAATTAACATTCCTTTTAAAATAAACCAGGCCCTGATGATATTAATAAAGCAAGAGAATACTGTCAACACACATTGAGTGACAACGTCAGTGTTTAGTGCTTAAACAGAGTAATGAGCTCTATTTTATCTGTGTTTATACTTACATGTTTTTGTTCTAAAAGCTACAGATATTTCCATAACCTCTCTTACTGTATGTGTCAAGTGAAATATTTTGTGATGCTCCTGATTGTAAGATTCAGATACATATTCATGTTGGTTTTGGCCACTATGAGGTGTGTTTTATTTTTAATGGAGATTTATACTAGCTTGTCAAAGCTGCGATTAAGTCCCTCAGCTAATGAACTTCTTCAGCTTGTTTCAGTCATTGCTGATTGTCAAACCTTGGTAGAAACGTCATTCCAAAGGTTTGGTCTGAGGTGCACAGGCATTGGTCAAAGAAAACTGAGAGCCCAGTGGGTGTTTCATGTGGTTTTTTTCCCCTCTACTCTTAGCAAACAGCCCTGGGAGTGAGATGCCACATTTCCAGTTCCTTGGAAAAAGAAGCTGCATGTGCATCTCACCTCTGCCTGGGGGTTTGGCTCCAGAGCTGGTCCAGACGGTATGCCACTATCGTTCCTCCTAATTACTTCAGTTCAGGGGATGGAGCTAAAGTACAAAACTCACTGTTTTTTTTCACAGTCCTTTTAGGATTCAGATAAAATATTCTATTGGTAAATTTGATTTGTCCTCTCTATTATCCGCTACAACTGTCACACACGCAGGTACAAAGCAAACATAGTGTATATTCACATCTATGTGCTCTGCAGGCTTTGCCTGCAGCAGCAAAGTGCTGTGCCCTAATCCCTCCCCCCCAAGCCCACTAAATTAATTTTATTGTAATTATGTGTGACATAATTCAAACAAACTATGAAAAACAATCCGTCCTGTGACATTAAGACTTTACCACCCATCTGTCCTCAGCTTCTTGAGATACCAGCCCTAGGACTTTTCCAGACAGTTTAGTACATTACGGTTGGTGTTGTTTATTCTGAAATAGGTGCAGAAACTTTGCTAAAATGAAGCTGCAGATGGTCAGCAGTCACTACCATCATCCCTGGAGAAGGGTGAAGTGCTCCACTTCCAACCAGCAGCTCTCCAGCTGGTGACAACTCGGAGCTGGAGCTTCAGCCTCTGCTTGGGTTTCACGCACAGCTGCAAGTCAGAGGTGACCCTGCTCACAGCACTGCAGAGCCTCAATGACACCCGAAGAATCATTTCTCATAAATCCTCCTTTCCTATCGAACATTGTCCCTGAAATGAAAACAAGCAAGACTAACCAGTGCAGAATGTTTCCAGCAATTTAACACAACCCTTGTAAAAATGAGTGTATCTATTTCAATAAATATGGTAGAGCTCAACCATTGTATTTTCCTTACATGGATACAGTATAGAATTGCATGTTCTCAGCAGCCACATAAAGCTCAGTGACATTTGAGTGTTTTCTTTTTGTTTTTGTTTTTTTTGTTTTCCTAGCGTCTTTTTTGCAAGATCTGTATTTCCCAGCCTCCTTGTTGCTAGTAGAAATTTGGGAAGAAACGTTTTTCAGTGACTTCTACGTGAAGAAATAAAAACTCCATGAATAAGGCTACAGATCAAACTCCTTGTGTCCTTCTTCTTTGCCTTCCCACACGAGTTACACGGGCACTCCCGTGACGACGGCCTCAGCGGTAGTTCCTCTGCGGTAAGAGCCAATGTTACACGTTTGTAGCAGAGTTCTAGGTCAGATGTTTAGTCCAGTCATTAAGTACTTAAAAGCAGTTCAGGAAGCACTGATCTCCCTTTCCTACAGCCCCGAAACCATCACTCGGAAGGAGGGCGGCACGTGTCTGTGCCGCGGGCTGGCACTGGGGCTTACGCAGGGACTGGCACAGCTAGCATCAACTCCTCCTATGGATGGCAAGTAGGCGTGATGAAGAATGGGCAGCTGCAAAGACAGCCGACGCTGTATGCTGCGGGAGAGACAGAGAGAAAGAAGCATTAGCCGAGAGGAAAATGTAATACATTACATGCTTGATATGCTTGCGGGTTGCTGCAAGGGTATTTTCTGTGCCTGCCGCTGTGACAGAGAGGGTTAATGCCAAGAGCGTGACGCTCGCTGCTGGTGAGCTATGCCACTGCGGTGTTATTGCTCCTTGGGGAATTTTTTTGACGGGCTAGACATGGCAAAGGAATCTAAGGGTGCATTCTCAGCATCCCACAATCTTCTGAAATACCCAGGCACTTTCAGAGTAATTGTTAGACTGCTGATACTGGAAAAAGTTAAGTGTGCGATGAGGGCATATGGCTTAGCAACCCCCCGCCCCTTACAAAGTGATCTATTGCATGCAGAGCCCTGGCTAACGGCGTAGACACGCACGAGGTCACTGGCTGAGGTTAAAGCCATGCATCACTTAGCACAAGGATGTCAGAATTAGGGATGGCATTTTTGCAACTCCAGCTAAGGCAAACACAGGTGCATAGAGGGAGAGGGGGAGGGAATTCAGACTGATGGCTTTTTCCAAGTAGTTCCTCTTTGCAGTTTAAGCCTGTGGTTTTGAGGTGCTGAATGCTGTCGAGTTCCCACAGTCAGTGCTGTGGGACCGAGGAGCTGGCACTCTAAAAGCAGTTTAACCTACTACCTGCACCAAAATTCAGCATTTAGGAACCCAACACCCTGTATCCAATTTTCCAAGCAGATTGATATCATCATAACCGGTGGGGCTTTGTTTTGGTTGGTTTTTTTTTTTAAAGGGACAATAAACTGTGCTCACAGACAGCCCAGCTAACCCCTCTCCATGGAGAGGACAGTGCCATGGGACATGCGCTCTGCTACCCCCATGCTGTGGATGTACCGGCACCTTACATAAAATCAAAATCCAGCTGAGCTTTCCAGTGATTGAAGTGTTATCGTACTAGGATTGCTTCTGCATTTGGAGACATTCACTCTTGAAACAAGGAGGGACATTTTAAAGAGAAGACAGGTGTCAAAGTGACAGAGCTGAACCAAAGACAGGCCTTTTGATTCCAGAAGAAAAATGCCCATACAAAGCATTGTATCAGTACAATACAGTTTTAAATTTTTATTTCCCTGTTATCTGATATAGTGACTGGGTATAGACAGGCATTTATAAGAAGTGTATGTTTGAAAGCTTGCCTTTGGACAGCCTTTCAAATTCAAACGACATTTCATTCCTTTTCAACTTTGTGTTATAAAGCTGAGACAGCTACCAAGGCATCATTGCGCTGCTTGGGGACCAAGCAGTATTGCTTTCAAATTCAAACAGAAGGAAACGTAATGCTGCTTCTCTTTAGTTTGTTCACTACAATCTAAGGCTTGTTTATACAGAGATGCGATGAAAATAGTTGTAGGTTGCCGAGCTGGGAAACTTTCTCATTTCGCGCCCCCCGCCCCCCCAACTCCCTTTAAAAGTTTGATGCAAAGTATGATTAATCCATAGCGTTGATCATTACAGTGCTGGCGATGCATTCCTGGGACTAAACAAAATCCATTCATTGTTATTTTGCTACTGTGCCCAACTCTTTCTGGTACTATCAATGAAATCATGCCTTGTTCCCAAGGAGTGCAGAGGTGGCATGGCTCTCTGCTTCCATGTGCTGAATCCTTAAGAGCCTGATGCTGCGGATTGTCATTCTGTCTCTCATGGCAGGGTCAAACGCAGAATTGCCTGCACTTATTTTCCCACCAGTGGAAATGCTTACTTTGTTCAACTGTTACAGACTTCTCATTAAAGAGCTTTTTGAAGCTATTCCAAGAGAATCCAGTTGCATAATCAAGTGAATCGGATTTTTTTTTCACCCATTTAAGTGTGAGCTATACCATGGACAAAGCATGTTTATTTAGCTATGCCAACGGTGGCAGCAGTGGGTGGCAAATTTTGCTTTAACTGAACTAAAAGTTTACTTTCACTTGAAAACTTGGTTCCTGGAATTGGGGCAGAGGGCTATAGCCTGCAGACTTTCACATAATTAAGAATTTAGGCAAAAGTCTTAGGGGGAAACACAAAACAAAACAAAAAAGTAACAAAATCCAAACAAAACTGCTATTTTCTCCTTAAGTGAAAGTAAATCTTGTACCTTGTCTCACTCTTTGTAGGTTTTTTTTTTTTTTTTCCTCCAATATCACTGGTTTTTCCCTTCCCCCACCCCTGCCACATTTTGTCAATGCTTTTGGGGCAATCTCCAGTATCAGTACAGGCTGGGGGATGAAGGGATTGAGAGCAACCCTGCCAAGAAGGACTTGGGGGTACTTGTGGATGAAAAGCCAGACATGACCTGTGCGTTCGCAGCCCAGAAAGCCAACTGTATCCTAGGCTGCATCCAAAGCAACGTGACCAGCAGGTCCACGGAGGGGATTCTCCCCCTCTGCTCCGCTCTGGTGAGACCCCCCTGCAGTACTGCCTTCAGCTCTGGGGTCCTCAGCACAAGAAGGACATGGACCTGTTGGAGCAAGTCCAGAGGAGGGCCACAAAAATGATCTGAGGGCTGGAGCACCTCTCCTACAAAGAGAGGTTGAGAGCGTTGTGGTTGTTCAGCCTGGAGAAGAGAAGGCTCTGGGGAGACCTTAGAGCAGCCTTCCAGTACTTAAAGGGGGCTTATAAGAAAGATGGGGAGGGACTTTTTAGTAGGGCCTGTTGTGATAGGACAAGCATTAATGGCTTTAAACTGAAAAAGGGTATATTTAGACTAGATATAAGGAAGACATTTTTTACGATGAGGGTGATGAAACACTGGCACAGGTTGCCCAGAGAGGTGGTAGGTGCCCCATCCCTGGAAACATTCAAGGCGAGGCTGGACGGGGCTTTAAGCAACCTGATCTGGTTGAAGATGTCCCTGCTCATTGCAGGGGGCTTGGACTGGATGGCCTTTAAAAGTCCCTTCCAACCCAAAGCATTCTATGATTCTATGAATTTTTTTTGAGTTGTCCATACAATATAGATATGTCAAAACATATGTGTGGTCAGGTATATTGGGGAGGGAATGGTTAGTATGAATGGTTTTAAAATCATAGAATCATAGACAACCGCTGAAGGAGATGGAAAGGAAAGGTGGTGCCACACACAAAACAGCCACTCATCAGCGTACTGTGTTAGAATGGGGCATATATCCTCAGCTCTGTACAGAAATGCCATTTATTAGGGATAGATAAAGTCCAGTAAAAGCTTGAATTCCAATGTCAATGCACATAGGAACACAATGCAATGCACTTGGGAATGCACGATGCTACAAAGCGGGCAAAGGCATTTGAAAAGTATTTTGGTTCTGCTATAGAAAACCACTGATTAGATCCATTGGTAAGTGGGGGGGCTGAAACAACTGCTGTTACAGTCGAACATCTGAAGATCTGCGGGAGTCTATAAACCATGTCTAAGCATTCAGTCAATTCCTCAGCCCATTAATGTTGATTTTTAGCAACTGCTGGGGAGCTGGAGAAGTTCTAAAAGATTACAATAAAGCAAGATGTTTACTAGCAAGTAAACTAACCATTCTAAATTCACCTTATTTTAACAACAGATTTGAGTAGGATCAAAGATAAACTAACGTGAACCACTGTCAGTGAAGAAACATAACAGAGCCATGTTCATGCTGAGGTATATAGCTGTAATGCAATAATCCAGTCTTTTTTTTGATAAGAATTTTTGCTTACTAAAATTGACAGAACTGGTTCCAGCAGGGTATTTGACTGTCTTTTAGCTCCAAAAAAATCAAGGTGGTTTCTATTATAAAGGTTACACAGCGATTAGCTGCTTTGAAGGTTACAAAAATGACAACATATAGGAAATAGTCTATCAAAATGGCAGGTTTTAGTCCAGTCCTGCAGAAATCTATTATCACCCTTACTCAGAGATCTGGAAGACTGTTACATATTGTTGCTGTTAAAATGAGAACAGTATAAATTTTATTGGTGCCAAAAACTAATTCACCAAATATAGGTCACTGATGAGATGGGACAACATACAGGAATGAAGGTGCACAGAAGAACGTCTTTAAGGGTCATGGAAGATATCCCATTGAATGTATTTGTGTGGCCATCATGCAGATAAGCTGACTGATGTGATTTTTTAGATAAATGAGCAGCACTGCCCAGCAGAAAAGATTTGACTTTACATGAGAGACACCCTGGCCTACTGGGAAATGAACTATTATATCTATTCTAAACTGGTTCAAGCTGCTCTCTGGACCTGAGAGGAACTGGCAGAGTGCAGGTTCCATCCATGCAGCTAAGCTCCCCCCAAACAGCGTTTCTGAATACCAGATTGTGGCTGAGCATTACCCAGGAGAGCACAAGTTAATACAACTGTGCTACGGAGTACGCTAATAAGGACCATGGAAAATAAAAGTGCAGGGTTTGAGCCTGTGCACCAGGATGGCTTTGCCTACTATAGGCAGTGTTAATTTACATTGTGCAGCCAGCATGAACAGGAGAGAAAGCAGCCAGCACCCACTTTTTACTCGTCATGTCTGATGGTCTGACTGGGTATTGCAATTTTTATGTGGCACTATGGATAACCTACTGGTTCCTGCCCAGCAGGAAAGGGAGTGTGCTGGTTTTGGCTGGGGTAGAGTTAATTTTCTTCAGCGTAGCTGGCGTGGGGCTGTGTTTTGGATTTGGGATGAAAACAGTGTTGATAACCCAGGGATGTTTTCGTTGTTGCTGAGCAGGGCTTACCCAGAGCCAAGGCCTTTTCTGCTCCTCACCCCACCCCACCAGCGAGGAGGTTGGGGGTGCACAAGGAGTTGGGAGGGGACACAGCCGGGACAGCTGACCCCAATGACCCAAGGGATATCCCGTACCGTATGACGTCATGCTCAGTGTATAAAGCTGGGGGAAGAAGAAGGAAGGGGGTGACTTTTGGAGTGATGGTGTTTGTCTTCCCAAGCCACCGTTACACACGACGGAGCCCTGTGTACCTGGAGATGGCTGAACACCGGCCTGCCCATGGGAAGTGGGGAATGGATTCCTTGTTTTGCTTTGCTTGTGTGCACAGCTTTTGTTTTACCTATTAAACTGCCTTATCTCAACTCACGAGTTTTCTCACTTTTACCTTTCTGATTCTCTCCCCCATCCCATGGGGAGGAGAGTGAATGAGCGGCTGGGTGGGGCTTAGTCCCTGGCTGGGGTTAATCCATGACAGCAAGTAAGAGGCAAAGGGAACTGTGAATCATCTATATTCATGCTCTAAGGCTGCTTTACAGTCATACAGACTGCATTTTCCTTAGGTACAGGGTTCTAAACCTGAGCCAAGCACAAAACAAATGTTTTTCACATTCTGGTTGAGGTGATATAAACATCCCCCCATCAACAAAAGTGAAACAGCTTCCTGCACTACTGAGCCTGAAGTGCATGTGTACTGCTGTGCCTTCACTTTGAACACAACTGCAGGACAAGGGATCACACTTGCAGTCAGTCAAATGTAGCACTAATGCTAAGAAAGAATGAAAAAAATCCCAAATCAAACTCTTTTCTGCCCTCTGCAAGAACTTTCATACTGGAAGACGTTAGCTTTCCTGAGTGCTGGCAGTAACAGGAATCTGTGATGCTCCTTTTTGCTATAGCCGTTAAAGAGTTAACATTTCTGCAGGTAAATTATTATTTTAATGTTCTCCTTTCATAGGTTTGTGGCAAAGAGGAAATCTTTTTCAGACTAATGTCCTTGAGGTTTGTGTTCTTGAATAAGAAATAGTTTGGCAGACTATGTGACTACCTCTCCATTAGATGCCTTATGAGTGAGAAAAAGAAGGCACAAACTACAGTTTGTCTTTAACTCTTATTGTTTTTTTTACAAAAATGATCTATTTAATAACCACAGAAGGCCATAAGTGCGACCAGACAAGCTGAAAAAAAAGCAAATGCGTGCAGAAGGATATTCTTAAAGAGCAGAAGTTTGAAAAGAGGCAATTTCTTGTCAAAGAAAGGGAGTCACAAAACCCTAGTCCTGAAGACGGCTACACGTCTCCTCTCTGGCAGGGCCACGGTGCCTGGGTGGTCTGGCTCTGGTAGCCAAACTGCCAACGCATCCCCAGGGGAGATGTTGCCCCTTGGACCTGGCACAGTCACAGCTGTGTAAGTGCTGAATGTGACACCCTTTTGATTTAGCAGACCTTTATTAATTAAGCTTTTCATAAGTGTCAGTGACTGTTCAGATTTGTATTGACCCGCTGTTTAAGACATCTAGGAAATCTCAGTCTTCTCACCAGTTACCACCAGCCTACAGGAAATTCTGTCATCAACAAATGTGTGTGTTTTGTTTTGTTTTGTTTTGTTTTCTGTATTAAATCTGTATCGGGACAGCTTGATTATCTGAGTGTCTGTGTTTCTCTTAGCATCTCTCTTAATGTCAGCGGGCCATGTGCAGATGAGGCTGCATTCACACTACATTATTTCTGACAAATGGTGCTCGAAAAAGACACCTCTAATAGCTAAGCATTAAAGCACTCTGCTGACCCCATAAAGTCACAAGAGCTTTCTCAGCGAGAGCCCTGCTTTTGTGAAATAACCAGGTATTTCAGCTACTGGGGGCTTTTTTGGTGCATATGTGTGTGTGGATTAGCTCCTATGGAGGTTTGGGTTGGGTTTTTTTGAGTGCAAGGACTGAGTTAGAAATCCACATGTTTTCCTCCATCAGGTAGTACAAGGCAGTAACTGCTATCTGAAATCAGGTTTGCTGTCACTGAGGTAACATGTGACTCAGTCTAGTAATTTGTTTAACTTATTCTGTTTGTAAATAAGCTTTTAAGTTGCCTGTGTACAAAGTGGGCGTCTGACAGCTCTTAGCTCAGATCCTGATGGAGCGATGCCCATGTAACTAGGCTGCCGTGGGGAAGTGGTTGATCCAGGGACAAATGACACTTCCCTGAGCTCTGGCCCGTGGCAGGTCCTGCTGAGCTGGTAGAGGGTAGTACGTGAGTTTATTGTATAGATTCCTAGAAAGAAAAGCTGATACTATAAGACTCTTTTCTCTCCATGAATCTAGCAAGTGCTTTGTGCTATCCTCTCCTTGTAGCCGCAGCATTGTTTCTAAAGGAAACTACTTGATGCAGGCTCTCCTGTGCCAAAACTCAGGTCCAGCTGCTATGGCAACGTTGAAAAGCCCTCGTACTGTTTTTATTTCTCAGCTAGCTTAAGATCGAAGGAGAACGAAATGGCTATGTACACCATGAACCCCTCTGGCTGGTGTATGGAAGGACTTGGGCTTTTGACAATAGTCATAACACGTGTGTGCACATATGTACATCCTCTTCCCTCCTTAATATACATTGGTGGTTGGGAACAGCTTGTCCTGTAACTCTGCACAGAAACTTTAGACATCATGTTATGGATGTTTCTGACAAGAGAAAGAAGTATGTTAGTTTGCCTTTGGAGCACCTTAGGATCTACTGCCCCTGATATCCTCTAAATTTGTTGGGGATGGTGAGTTGGTGGCAGGGAGGCATCCCAGTACAATGTTGCTGCCCACTGGTGCTTCAGGAGATGCCATTCACATCTTCTGTTGCTGAGAGTTCCAGCTCTGTAGCTGGGGCTGGCTGAAAGGGTTTACAGTGAAGGTCTTCCCATATAAAAATGCATCAAAGAGAAATAGGGGTTTTGATGAAATGTAATCATTTAAATTAACATCTTATCAGCAAGGCAGCTGGTGTCCAGGATGGAATTTATGGCTAAAATGATAAAAAGTGTGCATGCCCAAACACATGCATACCCAAGAAAGCAAGGGGTGCCTTTTTGTGTACCAGTATGTAATGGTGTATACTTACTGCTCTGGAGAGTTGATGTCTTCTATAGGATCTTTGCTTGTTCTGGAAGGGTCTGATGACCCCCATTGTGCTGGTGGATTTTGATCAAGATGATTTTTCAAAATGGCTGTCTCACCATCTGGAGGTACAACACATTCAATTTTACTTTACTGTGACCAAGTGACCATTTAAAAATTGTTCCTTTTTAAAATTTCCCAGATGTTCATAATGCCATAAAGTAAACTCTTTCTGCCTATATTCCAATAAAATCTCAGGTTGCCCTGTGAGTCATTGGTACTGTTATGGTTTCGACGATGTGTTGCTTTGTAGGAACTACCATGAAGAAACAGAAAAGGGACAAAACCTCTTTTGTCCTTCCTTTGCTTCCCCCCCCTCCTTTAAAAAAAAACCAAACCACCACAAACCAGACCTTGTTGCCCACCTCTATGTAGCCCTATCATGCTCTCTCACCCAGTCTTAGGCTGTGTAAAAAGTTAATGTAACTGTGCCATCGTATTATCTTGCACTCAAAAATTGTTACCTTTTCATATGGAAAAAACCTCTTATTTAAGTATTTTCATATAATGTCATTGATATATAAAACCTTGGTACTCTTGCAATCACAGAAGCGATTAAGTGCCATCATTTAACTATCTGCTATCATTTAGCACGGAAATTTGATTCATATCAGTTGCACTGGTCCATAGGCTGTCTGCAGGAAGGACAGCTAATGATTTCATTAAGCTTTCTCCTGCTGTTCTCTTTTCTGTATAGTGATGACATAAAAGATCATCATTTTCCCCGTAGGTAGCTTCACTCGATTCCCCTGGGTGTCCCGGGAGTCCCTGGCTTGCTGTGCTGAAGCCTGTGGCATCGGTCCCCCCGAGAAACACAGGTGAACACAGGCATTTTAAGAAGGCTGTCTTTGCTGGGGCTCCTTTCTGTTCCTGCCTGCTTTTCGAGAGTCTCCTACTGTGTTAAGCCAAATAAAGTCACATGGAAAACATCTGAGTAATGAGGACAGCGCACAGCTTTCATAAATAATTACAGAGCAGTTCGAAATCCATCACTGGCAGTTGTTTGCCACGCACACAGAGAAAACAGTGATTGCTGCAGCCATTAGGGCAGCATGGAAGAGGATTTGAAGGTAAATTCTTGAGAAGGACACTGGAGGATTTGAATGTAAAAATGGGTATGAGGTGGAAAGGTAGGAAAATAGTGAAGAGAAAATGTAAAAAACATGAAAAACACAGCGCGTATTGAAGGCTTAAGCTGCCTTTCTGTTCTGCTAATACTCAGAAGCCCCAAATAATGCGCAGGTCCCAGCATTCGGGGAATATATACGCTATCGACAAGCACTGGTGGGACAAAACAAGCAGCAGAAACAAAGAGGGAGGAAAGAAGCTGGAAGCAGAAACAGGAATATTTTGAGGGCAAACTCCAACATATGTAATTGCCCTCCCAGTACAGTCATCCCCAGCATTATTTTGTAGCATTCACTTTTTACTGTGAAAAATCTAATAAGAAACTTGGAAAGAAGTGAATAGGTGAGGATGCAAAAATGAGCAGACTTGGGCATCGCTACAGTTCAGAAGAGTAGGAGAGAAGATTTTTTGCTTATGTTGCATGGAAGAGAACGATCTGGGTGAGAAAGAAGGCGAGCAGAACACATGAAGCGGCTTCTGTTGGGGCAACAAAATGTCAGTAAAAGAGAGCTAAGGAATTCTGTTGTAGCAAGAAGCGTGCTTAAAAGGAAGATATGACAGGATTCAGTGATGGTTTAGATGTGAAGGTAGGACAGCAAAGAGTCAAATCTGACAGTGGCTAAGATGAGCAACAAAGTCTATCATCTCAGGCAGCCTGAAGTTTGCTGGTGTGGCATTTGCTGTCACAAGAGTTCAGTTTTTATTTTCCATCTATCACATTTCTATGTATATTGAGCTTGGCATTTGCATAAAAGCCTTGTGATGTCTATAAACAGACACATAGAAAAGAACTTCCGTGATTAAAATCAATGTTCAGTCCTGATCTGATCTAAGCTGACAACGAAAACTGCTGACTTTATGATATAGATCAGAGTTAAAATTTTATAATCCTTGGAATTAGGGATGAAAAAAATCTATTATTTAAGTATTTTAAGGTTTCAACTCCTTTGGCCAAGATAAGCAATTTATCCTTTTACAAAGCCACTGAAGATACAATTCTTCATCAGATGACTGTAATAGGCAACTGTTGGGCTTCGGGCATATGAGATTTCATATATTAATCTGTGTTGTATACCTCTAAAGGAGTTTCTTGTGCTTTCAGTTGTGCTGTGAGGGAGAGAGAGAAGGAGGCGGTCCTTGTCAAAAAGGTGGGGGATTTAGTTTAAAGTAGAGCAGAAATCATGTATTCTCTGCCTACTCACCCCTCAACACCAACTGCCCATATATCACTGTGTGCTATTCTCAATAGACCCTTTTCTACCACTCTTGCATATGACTCGCCCTTAATATACTGCATAAATTTCTGTATACAAGGTTACCATATGCAAATTCTAATGTATATGTGTAAAATACAGACAAAATCCACATAAAACTGCCCCAATGTTGAGATTTTTTTTTGTTTTTCCTTTGCTTCTTTCAAAATACAAGAAGTTGGGCAATTCTTAGTTGTTAAGCTTTTTGGTAGAGGAGTGGTTAGATTTTTATTCTGCAGCTATGGAAACTAGAATGTCTTTCTTTTTTCTTCTTTTCTTCATTTACCTTTCATTTAAATAATGAAGAGCAAGATTCTCACTTAGTCATATGCTTTCAGGAGCTGGAGCTTTAAGAAAAACACTATTACCATATGCACGTAAAAAAACTTAAGGATGGAGGAAATCGATTTTATATACATGAACAATTATAAGAAAGTAAATTAAGGGTAACGGTAAACATTTGAGTTCCCAGTTTCCCCTGGAAACTGTAGCAATGCTTTTAGTACTTCCTCATCTTTTCTTCCTCTGTCCATTAAGCACGCCACTTGAAAAATGCCCTTCATTCTCAAGGTACTGTCTGCCACTGCAGATGCTACTGAATAAGTTGCACCGGGATGATCCAACTCCCTTCAAAATTGAATTTACATTAGCCAGAAGCACTCTCTAAGTAATTTTCACCTTCGTAGACCTCAAACCTGAACTCAGAAGTCTGAATAAGTGATGCCTGAGCACTTTCCATTCAGAAAACCATTGGGAAAAAAGACAAATAGATCTCAAGGGCCTTTCATGGCACTCACTGATGGGTTCATTAGAAAACAAAAGCTACTGCCCAGTTGTCGGTGAGAGCCAGAAGGCTTTAGCTCAGGACCTTTGCCTACCTGCAGCAGAGAAACAACTTCCAATTACCAAGCTCTGAGCTGCAAGAGCACACCCGGCGCTGGCTGCGGAGAGGCTCAGCGAGGAGGTCACTGCTCCCAGCTGCTCGCCTCTCCCTCTGCCAGGGGTGATGCTCGCTTCAGACCTGCCGTACGTATAATCACTCCGCAACCTGGTCCTGTCAAAATTACCTGGGCTGGCTTAAACGCGTTGTGCATTTTAACGACTCCTGTTCAGCTGCAGGCAGAAAAACACCAGGTGACTGCCACTGCTGCAATTTCTTCCAAGATTTTAGAAACTGTATTTCTTCAACTAAAATCTTGTTTTGTTGACGTTTGTACACTGCAGCTTTATTGAACATCTTCATCATTATGCTTTTGCGGCAATATTCCTCCGATGGCTTACAACTAGATGGCAGAACGACTCTTCACCCCACATCTGCCAATTCCACTGTTGTTTTCTCTTTGCTGGAAAGCATATTTTATGCTCCAGAAAGAACCAAGTGTGGTTTAATAATGACTTACAAGATCTGGCAGAGATAACCTTGCTGATTTACTGAAGAACTTGAGAAACTTTAAAGCTAGAAGTCGATTTTTAAAATCCACTGTAATTTTTCATAGTTTTGTTGTTTGGATTGTGAAACATGACTAGCCAGTTTCTACTTTTCATGTGAACAGGATGAAAAGAAAGTAAAATGAAAGGAAAAATTAAAATGATCACATCATCTGCTGGATATACCAGAAAAAGTTCTCCTGAACTAAGCATACAGCACCAGGCAGTCTAAATCATGACTTCTGATAGTTATGTTTTGAAAGGAAGATTTTTTAAAAAGAAAAGCCGGCAAGACTCTTCTCTGATTTATACTATTTTAAATCTGAAGAAACTCCCTTTACTGCAGACTTATTTCTGTGCAGGGAAGGGCATGCATTGAACCTCTGGCAGTTTGGTCTCCCTATTGAAATAGAAACAAGCTCCAGTTTCAGGACTGGAATTAATTTGCTAGGCTTCATAGAAACTAGTATACATATCTCTATATATCTCTATATACATGGGATATAATGAACGATATCCTTTCTTTAAAACAGCATTGCTTTAAAGACGTTATTAGTGAAAGCCTTTCCTTTGAATCTGTGGTTTCAATCTCAAGCTTAATGCTTGAATCGCACTAACTTCACAGAAGTAATATTTCCCCCCTTTGTCACAGATGAACTCTGTTTTGCTTTGCATTTGCAGCAACATGCCTTCGAAATCTGTTTTTCTTTGAGCTGCTTTTACTTGGGGAAAAACTAACACTGGGAAACATTGGAGTGGGGTGACAACTGACAGTATGTAGGCATATCTGACATGTAAATGAATGCTCCCAGTCCATTTACAGCAATGAGTAAAGACTCTTTTCTGGCTCAAAACAGAAAAGGCTTTCTCAGCAAGCAAGGGTGCCTGCAGAGAGAGAACTACCAAAAAGGATTTGTTCATAAGTGGGGACTATTGCAAGGCTGTCTCTTGCTTTGCATGTACTTTGAGGATGGCTGTCATTCATTAATTTCCCTAATACACTACTCTGAAATGTACTGGCAAAGGTAGAAATAAATGGAGATTCTTCTGCAGGATTTCTTCTGAGCTTGGTTTTGTATGAAACTCTTGCAATCTATGAATCATTCATGTAGAAATAATTTCATGTAATAAAATGTCAAATAGAAGTCAAATAGAGTAAGATAGTAAGATTCCAAGCATACCAAAATTATCCAACCTCCCCACCCCAAACCACACAGTATCTTCCCTCTCTATTTTTCTCTTCAGTAACTTTTATATCTGCAGGAACTTGCACAGTAGAAATAACTTCTACCTTCAAATACCTCCTACCTTCAGAAAGTCTCTCCTGTTTCTGGCATGCTGGCTACATGGGTGCAGGGAGCCCTTTTGGGAAGCTCTGGTTTGTGCCAGTGCCAGGGTATTTCTTCCCTGGAGCTGTGCAGCACAACCTTCCTCTTTACACAGCATCACAGTTACAAGCATTTGTCCTCCTTTTTCCAAATGTCAGCCTGGAAAACTCAGCCATGTCTCCAGGCTTGGCTCTCCTTGCTGAATGGCACTGCCAGTCACAGGAACTGCCCGAGCCAAGGGCTGGTCTCGCCCACCGCCCATCCCTGCCTCAAATCAGGCTGTAACGCGGCTCAAGACCAGATCCCACAAGTGCCGGGGGAGAAGCTGATGTTGTGCTGTGCACAGAGCCAAGGTCGCTAGCAGATGCAGTGACTCAAAATCATCTGAGGACAGTATCAAATGAAGTTAAGGGGATGCCCTTTTAAATTCAACTCGGGAAGCCATTTGAGGTCCCAGAGCCACAGTCCATGGAGTGTGTTGAGAACTGCTTGACCACACAAAGCTGTCTAGCAGCACAGACAAAAGTCTGCGTTAAAAAAAAAGCAATTGAACCATAAATGACAAACCACATTTTCCTAATTGCTTTTCTTACATAGCCAATTGCTGTAGATGTCTCAGGGACATTACACATTTGTGAATGAGAGATGAGCATCTCGGATAATATCTCTCTTTAAATGCGATGTACTGAAATGTGCTGTAAAGGAGTCCCCGTGCCAGCAAAGAGCTCCGGAGCTGTTGCTGTTAATAACTAAGCAGGAATCCCAAAGTTATGAAACTTTGCCTGAGGTCAGACAGTTATAGGAGCGCACAGCTGTGTCTACGTATTTTGGCAAAAGTAATTTAACTTTTGTATCCTAAACCCATATTTGACGTAAACGAGGGTGGTGAGGAAGGCAGGGAAGAATCAAATAACCTCCTTTGGCACTTGGCTATAGGAGGCAGGAATTTGAACTCTGGACAGTTTTTACAGATCAGAAACCTACTGAAGTGTACTACAATATTAATGTTTGATTAGGACTTGTTCAAGCTGCATTGCATAAGTCCTGTGTTATTATCTGTTCTCTGAAGTGCAGTGCCCTGAATTTGTGTAAGCAATAGCAATGGGGATACACTACGTGGCATTCTCTGAGGGAACTCCTTCAGAACAAGAAGCTATTTTATAAAGAAGATTGACATAGGATTCAACCATGTCCACAGTGCAAATGTGGCAAATGATCTGCTATGATTTTTAGCTCCAAGTCAAGTCAGCTGTTTTTAGCATCTCTCTTCACTGTCCTACTCCCTCTCTCTCGGCTCACATTTTCACAAAGTCCAAGGTAGGCACAAACCTTGTCATCACCTTAAAAACAACATTGGTCTGGCTTCCCAGTTGCACGGTGGAGGTGAGACACATGGTCACTTCTAGGTCATGCTAACAAATAATTTACAATTCCGAAGCTTTGCTCAAGTACCATCAGGGACGCATAGTTTCAAGGTTCTGTACTTTCATTTACAGAAAGTTAAATGAAATACATAGCTACAGGAAGCACAGTTATGTCAGCCAGAGTTAGCTTTCCTGTAGCCGTAAGGGCCAGAATTTTTTTAAGTACCATTTAAGTGATGTCTGTTTGCATCTGCACAGAAGCAGCAGTGACTCAGCAGCATGAATTCTCCAAAGCCTTGTTATTTTGATTGGAATGGCAAATTTAAATTAAGCACATAGGTTGACTATTGGGAATGGATGCAGTGAGAGAAACAGAGAGGTAATTCAGACATGTAGCTAAGGGACAGGGAAAAGGGGAAAGAGAGAAAACAAGAGGCAGAAGAAATGGGAATGGAGGGACAGGAAAAGGCTAGCAAGGGTTGTTGAACATGGTGGCTCAGTGCCTGGAAGTATGAATATTTGATGTCACTTGAGTCAGGATCAGGACTCCCCATAATACTCATGCTTGGGGCATTCACCGCCAGGTGTGGGACCAAGCTTCAAACACCTGCTGCAAACTGAGATCCAGGTCTTCTTCATTCCCAGGTGAATGAATGCTCTAACCTATTAAATATAAAGATGGCCAAGGGAAAACATCCTGCTTTCCCCCCTCCCCTCTTTTGTGTGGAGCTTTATGTGGTAAGTCCATCCAGAAAACTGTGTCCGGCCACTTCAGTATGCAGAAGAATATCTACCCTGTAAATCCCGATAATACATCATTCCAAGCTACTCTGTACATTAAGGCTCCATACATACAGGTGATTTTAAATATGTACCCAGCAGCAGAAATGTAGAAGTTGGGGAACTGTACTGGGGGAAAATTAGGAACACAGACAGTCTTGGATGCGGCTGCTTAAGCAGCAGTTAGGCATCAATGTCTTTTGTAGCTATAGCCACAAGTAAGTGCAGAAAGGTTATATTTTCTCCTTGATTTCTTTGCCAGCATCGTACTGCTAATGGAGTGCAACCTGCTGTGGGAAGCATCCCATCCTAAATTTATACTCGGAGTATCTCTTGAGAATAATTTTTATTTCTCATACCCAAACTCAGAGGGGCATTTGGCACAATGTAATGTATCTTTCCTGCTTGAAATATTATTCATGATTTATCATTTTTCCTGGAGCATCTGACATGAGTGGAACATTCTATGTGTTCCTTTCAAACACTCAGTAAAACTGCCTCATCCCACTCACTGATGTTAGTTCTTGCTGCTGATCTCAGCCCAATAATCACACGCCTCCAGCAGCTATTTACATTTTCCTTTTCCTCCTTTCTCCCCTTCTGTTTTTTTAATTTTAAAAAGGACACTGGGAACTCTACGGAGCTCTTCTTTTTTTTTTTTTGTTTTGTTTTGGTTTTTTTTTTGCCACAAGTTACACAACCAAGTGTATACCCAGGCTAAAACAAAAGGCACATGAAAAAGTAACCTTATCCAACCAAAATGTCAATATACTTCAAAAGCATATGTGAACTGTTGCTGCTGTTCTAAAATTACTTTTCAACAACTATATTTACAGGAGTAGCTTCTGTTCCACTTAACCAAGCTTACTCTGCCACATCAATAGGAAGCCTGAGACTAGCATTGCAACAAACATGCAAGTCTACGACTTCCCAACACAGGGCAACTAGTTTTTCACATAATATAGTAACATTCAGATGTACAAAGTCATTTGCCAAAAGCCATAAAGTAGATCCATTCTAGAGTCAGAAATGGAAGCTGAGTGTCCTGGCTTCCAGTTTATTGCACTATGCACCAGATCTTATTGCTTCCCAAAAGCAAAATAGCTTTAATGTAAGCAATTCTTTCACATGTATTTCTTCAGGGAGCGATGCAAGAGATGCAGTAGAAACAACTTAGGAATATTACAGTCATCATGACATCTTTTTTTATCAGTTCCTAGGGAAGAATTTTCATACATGAGTGCCTTCAATTCTACATTTAGAGTCCAAATCATCACTGAAATATTTACATGCTTCTCTTCTATGTGCTTGATAACAGTGTCCAAAAGCAGGATTTGAACGTCCTACTCAGACGAGCACATATTAAACTGGGCTTCCTACTGCTGAAGGCTGGCTCGATTAACTCTCACAAGATCTGAAACATTCTGTGACTTTCCTCCCTCCATGCAGCACAGAAAACTTGACTTCTGAACACAAGTATGCTTTTAAAAGTTTCACGCTTTACCATGTGTATTAAACACACAGGCCATACAATAGAAGACATATGTACAGAGAAGTACCTACTCAGTGGGTACCACATAGCTTATTATGGGAATCTGTGTACTTTCTGTAATGCAATCAAAATATTTAAAGCTCTATCTTACCAAGGTCCAAGTGCTCTGGAACCAATCCAATGAAATTGCTATTAAAAATCTTGGTAGGTTAAGCTACTAAGGGATTTTACTAAGTCTCACCTTTGCTGTCTGTGAAGTTCCGTATACTAAGAATGTCATTAAGATCCTGATAGTGGTTCTGCTTAATGTATGTTGTTTTCTCAGGAGTGTCCTGAAGTTGCATTGTGACCTCTTCCAAGTCTTTGTCCAGCTGCAAAACAGAAAGAGTATGAGTCCCTGAAAATTCAAGTGTCATTGCTTCAGGTATCTGCGGAAACTGCATAGTTTTCTATAACTGGACTAGAAGGCAGGTGATAATGCAATTGCCACACTGTGCCAAATACAGTTTTCTTACAGCACTACAACACTACCTCTAAAAATCATGCTACAAGGAACAAACCGCATTCAGCTGTTTTATTGCACACAGGGCATATGAGAAGTACAAGCTTTAGTAGTTGACAGCTTAAGCAATTCAGATGTACTGCTGAATGAGAAAGAAATGGGCACTAGAAAGCCCAGTCTGAAAACCTCTCGACTATTTCTTACTTATGTGTACAAATGTGGCATATAACCACTTTGTTGAGTCAATCAAATTATCAAACATACAGAATATAAGTGAACTATGGCATCAGGGGCATGTCCAGCCACGTGAGTGACTGCAGTCAACTCTACTGGAAATGTTTTGTTTCCTAAAGATTATTTTTACTCCTTTTACCTTTCTTGGAGAGACAGACTCTTGTTAGACTTTTTGTTTATGTCTCTGTGTGCGTGAAATGTCGAAGAAAATCCAACGCACAGTTTTCAGTTCTGTGGCTGACAACACTCTATACTTTTGTAATTTGAAAATTACGCCCGCGTTTTATATCTTTTGTGTCTTAAACTGTGTAATCTGATAGTTAGCACTAAACTGCCGTTGTAAGAATAGTTTTCCAAGAGGGAAAATAACGTAAATTAGAGGAGGGGGAAGAAACAAAAATCCCAGTCTTCTCTCTCCCCAAAAGCATCATTTAAGACTAGAGGGATGTTTGCTGTCTGGAAGAGCCACAGCACAAACGCTGGGTTGGTACAGCCCTGGCTTTTGGCACTGAGCTGAACACAGGGTGCTCTCCCCAAAGGCTCACTTGTATTCAATTGGCTACAGCCCCAGTAGAAAATAGCCAGATACGAGCATCTTAATGGTGACCTGGGATGCTCTTTGTGAACAATTGTCCAGATTATGGTGGCCAGAGTACATCCCACTCACTACTGGCTTAACAGAATTTTCAAACTGCTGAATTTAGATTTATATTGTTTCCTCGTAGAACTGGGACATAGCAACTCAAGGTAGATAAGTCAGAGATGCAGCTGCTAGCCACGGTAGGGCATGCTCCAAATCCCCTTGACAATGAGACCCTTACTGGGACCTACTGGTGCTGGGTATTTGATTTAATCTAGTTAAGGAAAGTCTACAACGATCAGCAAGGCCCTACATGCACTAATATGGCTCAGTTGCCCCGACCAGCCCTACCTGTGATCTCTGTCATGAGCCTTGCGAGGCACAGGCTGAGATCTTGTGAGTTAGGAGGCTTAGCAGAAAAAACTACAGTAGGATAAAGAAACTGAAATAGCCAGTAGCCAGCTGAGCCTTCATTAAAAATTGCAAGGCTCTCACATGAAAGGGACCTGGCAAAGCTGAACTAAATTGCTTTAACAAGGCAGAGACAACTTTTGCTTTTGGAGTCTTTGGTAGTCTGAGTAAACACCTTTTGGTTACCTAGGCAATTATCATTAGTTCAGACTTGGAAGAAGAAGTAATGGTTGCAATAAAATAACTTTTCTTCAAGGTATGAGAATACTTCACAGACTAGGCAAGAACAGGTTAATTTTTTGTAAGGTATAGATCAGTTATGGTTATCCTGTCTCACAAAATGGGCAGTCTTCAAGGCTGATTTGTCATTGTTTGAGGTCTCCTGAGCAAAGATGGACATAATTAAAAATATACATGTTATGTCTCTAATGGAATTCATGCACTCCATGTACTTAGCCTCCCTCTCAGTAGAGACTGAAGAAACTTCACAGCCTTTGTGCTAAAAGGGTCAGCTTACATGACTGTAAAGGTATTTTCTATCTTAAGAAAATATGCAATTCTGTTTCATGGGAGATGTAAAAATCTGCCTAGCAAGTTTTTGAGTGAACTCTCAGAGAGGCTGAGGAATAACAACAACAGCAGTCTCTGAACTCAGCCATAAACAGGAACAAAGACAGCTCCTAAGTGCCCCTGGGGCTGCAGATCTCTCTTACCCTTGCATGTTAAGGTTGCATTTCTAGAGCTATTGCTCTACGGTGCTTAGCATGTCCATGTGAAGTAGCAGCGTAATTTGCTTGTTACAAATAAATTGGGGAAGTTTCATTTTAATTTGCTTAGGCACATTTTCCTTTTATCATACCTGCTAAGTATTCACTGTATTAATTAGCTGTTAATATAAATCATGTTTCCTATCATTTCAATATTTTTCTATGGGGAAAGCTAATGTTTTCCTCTAAAAAGTAGTCAACATTTAAGCAGATTACAGAATTGCAACCAAAAAAAAATTCTCAAGCAGTATATACAATAAACAATACCTCTGTAATTTTCATTCTTAAGCGGTGGTTCTCTGACTGCAGTCCTTCTAGTCGAGATGTGCTGGCCTGATTGACGCTGGTGACTGATGTTGATGTTTTTGAATCTTCTTTCTTTTGATTTTGAGTGAACTGAAATCGTCTGTTCTGTGTGGCTGCATCTGGATTTGTCCTCAGTGTGATGAGCTGAAAGGTTTAAAAGCCTTAAGAAATCCTGTCCATGGTTTTATTTTTGCAGCTATTTCTTTTGTATTTCAAAATATTGAAAGGCAAACCAAGAGTTCCTTTCTGACTTTCAAGTACAAAATTCTGGAAAGTGAGCTCTGCTTGCTATGTGCAGTACTTGAGATAATTTCTGAATAACTTTACAGAAAAGGTTGAACCAAAATGATTTTGCAAAGGGAAGTGTTGAAAAAAAATAGGAAAAAGTAATTTAAAATATATTCAGCCAGATTTTAATTATGCTAAAAATATATTTTAATATGTCATCAAACATAATTTTCTCCTTCATTGATATCTTCATATTTTCAAAGGATACATTCCTTCATTAAGAAAAAAACAACCCACCAAGTCCTTTTCTTCGAAAACAGTTTCACCTGAAATTTCTCCTTTCCTACTGTTACAAGTAACACTCAAGCAGAGAGAGGCACGAAGCAGGAGTATTAACAGAAAGAACTCATGAGAGATTGAACTCTGGAGATAACAGAAATTTAATGAGGTTTTAGTGACCCAAAATAAAGCAAATCTGTTCAAATAAACTAAATAAGCCACTTATAAAAAGGTTAACCTTAAACATATTTAATTTAAGCAAATATAAGTAAGACTTAACACTCAGTGACAATGTGAAAATATCACCTCGACATGAGGAGAGAAAGCTACTAGCTGTTTGGCAAGGGGGAGAGAGCTTCTTGTATTACTCTAGAGAATACAGAATTGATGATTACTTGCCAAGCAGCATACATATATATTTGTATACAGACATAGCTGAAGGAGCTTCCTGCCCTGAGAGCATAGGCATGGCATCATAAATCCAAAGGCGTCGAGTTCTCCGAAAAGCAGGAGGGGTCAATCATTCTGTAAGCACAGCACAGCCAGATTTTGTGATATAGCCCCATTTTGGAATTGGTTCCTCTTGTTCTTCAGAGAGTGAAACTCTTCTGCAGCTGCCGTGCCATGAAATAAGGACCTAACTTCTGACAGAGAGAGATCTGACTGATCAGACACTGAAGCACTTGGTCCCTGGCATGTGTTTACAGATGAAGTCTGCAGATCGGGATGATACTTGAACACAATAAATTTCCTTTTTCAGGTGATAAAGGAGATGGAGAAGGCTGAGGTATGCAATGCCTTCTTTCCTTAGTCTTTACTGGTAACACTTGCCTTCAGAAGTCTCAGACCCCTAAGACCCCTAAAGCAATTGAACACAAGTTCATGCAACTTGATGAGGTATAGCCCTGAGGAATAACGGAGCTGGCCAATGTCATTGCGAGGCCACTCTCAATTACCTTTGGAAGGTGATGTTGATTGGGAGAGGTTCCTGAGAACTGGGAGAAAGGAAATGTCACAGCTGTGTTCAGGAGAGGTGAGAAGGAGAATCTGGGGAAATGCTTCCTGGTCACCTTCACCTCAGTCCATGGAAGCTGCTGCACCAAATCCTCTTGGGAACGATTTCCAAACATATTAAGAGCAAGAAGGTGATTAGAAGCAGTCATCATTGATTTATGAAGGGGAAATCCTGCCTGACCAACTTGATAGCTTTCTTCAGTGAGATGTCCGGGCTGGTAGACGAGGGGGGAGAGTTCTTTTTCTTGACTTACGCAAAGATTTCAACACTGTCTCCCATAACATCCTCATAGTCAAACTGATGAAGTATTGACTAGGTAAGCGGTCAGTGAGGTGGACTGAAAACCGTCTGAACTGTCAGGTTGAAAGGATTGTGGAAGCCAGTCACTAGTGCTGTACCTCAGAGGTTCACGCTAGGACCAATACTGTTTAACATCTTTATTAGTGACCTGGATGGTGGGACAGAGCACACCCTCAGCAAGTTTGCAGATGATCCTCAAAGAAGAGGAGGTGTTGATACACCAGATGATTGTGCTGCTGTTCAGTGGGCTGTCGAGACCGGAGATCTGGGCCAACAGGAATCTCCAGAAGCTGATCAAAGGAAATACCAAATCCCGCCCTTGGGGAGAAAGAAATCCTGAGCACCCACCCAAACAGGCTGAGGGGTGTTTGGCTGGGAAGCAGCTTTTCAGCAAAGGCACTGGGGATTGTGGTGGACACCAAGGGGAACATGAGCCAGTAGTACCCTGGGCCAATGGAGGTGATCCTTCCTTTCTACTCAGCCCTGGTGAGAGCACACCTGGAGTGTTGTGTCCATGTTTGGGCTCCCCAGTATGAGAGAGACATGGGAGTACTGAAGAAAGCCCAGTGAAGGGCCACAAAGATGATGAAAAGGTTTGGAGCCCTTATGATACAAGCTGAGGCTGATGATTGTTTAGCCTTGAGATGGAAGAGATCAAGGGGGGGACATTATTCATGTATATAAATATGTGATGAGGGAGAGTAAAGAGGATGGAGCCAGACTCTTCTCAGTGGTGCCCAGTGAAAGGAAGGGAGGCACAAACTGAAAACCAGGAAACTTCATTTAAACATCAGAATTTTTTTTTTCTGCTGTGTGTGGTCAAACACTGGTATAGATGCTCAGAGAGGTTGGCGAGTATTAATTCCTGGAGATAATCAAGACCCACAAGACCCTCAGTAACCTGCTGTAGCTGAGTCTTCTAGAGCCCCCTGCCTCTCCTCGCCCCCATTTCCTTGATTCTAATTAGACTGGTTGTAATGATTGGTGTGTCTAACTCCCAGACCAAAATCAGCATTAAAATGAAGTTAAAGGTGAAGAACAGTAATTACAAGGTTTCTTAAATTAGCCAGCAAAAGTGTTACAAGATAAAAGCTCTGCAATTTGATGTGGTCTAAGTTCAAACCAAATATAAGATAGAAGTATAGCCATCCATCAATTGACTCATCTTCATCTGGGACTTTATAGCTAAAGACTGGATGTTTTGCCACAAGGACACATGCTCTAATGAATTCAATCACATGGTGTGGATTAGATGGAAAAGTCCATGGGCAATGTTGTTGGTTCACGCTGTACAAGGGATGAGGTTAGGTAAGCTTTTTTTTTCTTCTGGCCATAAAGTCAGTGGAACTTGTGTCTTCCTGCCTCACATCTGTGCAGTTTCAATTTTGACAAAGAGTCAACACTGGATATCTACAAGGAGTCAATGCCAAATAGACAAAAAACTGCTACCAGCATAGAAAATGTTTTAATCCTGGTCCCATAAAACTAATTTTGCCTTGCTGCTCTACAGAATGAATGTGTTAATGCCATTGCAGCCAATGATGGGTATGCACATGGTGGGTGCCTAGAACCGAGCAGTGTTCTGTCTCAAAAGGGATGGAGCAGAAAAAAATGGAAGGACATGGAAGTTTGATAAACACAGATAAGCAAGGGAAAATTATTTCATTTTTTACTTCATTACTTCATTCTCAAGAGAGACTACATATTAGGATTGTTTCTTTTAAAGAAGTGATGAGTATGCTGAAAAATACTATAGACATGTTGGGTCTTAAAAAGATAATTAGACATAGCAGTTAACTTCTAACAGGAAAAATATACCAAATGTATGTTTGAATTTTGCAGATCAATTCTATAAGATATCCTTGAACCCAGAAATCTATAATAGTTTTAAAAATATTTGGACCTTTTTTGATTGGATAACAAGAATATCTAGAGTTACTGTAAGTAGGATGCAGTATAATGGATATCAACATTTGTATTTGAGGATACCTTTAAATGGAGAGAGCGATGAACATTTTTTCTCTGATCTATCTTACTCTGCTATGGGATTTTCCTCTTGTGTTTCTGAGGCACTTGACGCTGAACAAAATGGCAGTGGATGAGGCGGACATTTAACTGGAGAAGTATAGAAATCGCCATGTTATAAGTAAGGTTAGCAGAGCTGACAAGAAGTAAGGGAAAAATGTCATGTTTTGTTCCCTAGTTTGCCTACATTATTGAATAGTGCCTATTTAGATTCATAAAAGGGCTGTGGGGCAAAATTGAATTCCAGCACTGTTGGCCCAGGAGACTGCTGAAGATGATTTAAAAGGAATGTGTTTTACTCTGTGTAGCAGAGAAGTAGAAGTACTCACCTGGCCCAAACCCCACATTACTTCTTGCATCCATCTGGCCACAGTTTAATAAATGAAAAAGTGCAATCTTCCAAGTCTTCATTATCATCTCCTGCACTTGCTGCACCACAGGCTTTAGTAGTTCACCAGCAATCTTTCTGTGCCGTCAGAATTGTACTAATTGATGACGTACTTGTTAAGGGGAGAGATTTGATGCCTGTCTCACGCTGACATTTTACCTAGATGTGCAAACTGGGTGGTGTTGGATCTAATCTTCTGTGGGGTCCAGATAGGCTCTTGTGAAACCTGTGCTGGAGCAGGTTGCAGGAGAGAGCGCTTGCCAGCTGTCCTGCTGTAACTGTGGCACAGCATGGCGAGAAGAAATGTAGGGCAAACCACACAAGTGCAAGAAGAAGAACTCTCCAGCTGTGAAAGAACTTACATGGGCATTGGAAGTGGTGCATTCCAGCTCCTCTTTTTTTTTTTTTGGTACCTTATCCAATGACCATTTTTAAGGCAAAATAGCTAAGCATTTGGAAACCTGACAATACATGGAATGAGATGAAGTACTTCATGCTGGAAGGCCACGGTTCGTATTTGTATTTTGAGCAGAAAGAACTGAGAGGAAAAATGAGAGCAGGGTAACTGGGGTTTAAAAGAAGAGCAGATGAAGGGGTTAAAAAAGGAAACAGAAAAGTAATTTCAGAGCCTGTGGCAGCAGAAAAGAAGGATGGGCAAAGGAGCATGAAAGCAAAGGGGCAGAAGAGCATTTCACAGCATTAATAATATTTTCTCTTTGAAGAGAGTTCTGACATTCTGTGGAGGTATTTTTGGCATCAGAGTTTTAATACGTATTTTCATACAGCTTACACACTTAAATCTCGCAGTATTTCAAAGTACTCCCCATTGCTGTGTTTGTGAATGTTCCCTTAATTTAGAATGAAGTTGTGATTCTTCCCTAAGACAGAATAAAAATATGACTATTTATG